GTGGAACCGCCCGTGCCGTGTCACTTTACTGAGCTCCTTCCGTTATTCCGTGACTTCCCGAGTCGCTTGTTGGAGCGGGAGGGCGAGAGGGGCCCGGCGGGGGCAGCGGGGCCAGCCCTGAGGAGAAGCTCCGGGCCCAACCGCCACGGGCGGGTTCCCTGGGCACCCCAGGACTGCGGCAGGATGGAGGAACGTTCCACAGGGGCACGGGAGGAAGGGAATGCCCCAGGACAGACTGTCATTTTACAGGATATTTATTTGCAGCAGGTGTTTGGGTCCTGGGGGGGCCACACGTGCCCCCTGTGCACAGGCCTGGCAGCTCAAAGGCTCGGGGAGACCTGGAGTGTCAGAGGGGTGGGGGGTCAGGTGGGGGGTCACTGTGAACTGTTTATTTGAGAGATTGAGACGTGATCATCTGCTAAAACTGCCTTATTTTTTTCCATCAGCAGGGCCCCCCCAGGGGCAGAGCAGTGGCAGCTGTGACACTGTGACACTGTGACACTGTGACACTGTGACACTGTGACACTGTGACAGTGACAAGCACAGTCACAGGGGCTGAGGGCTGTGGAGGTGCTGACCAGGAATGAGGGAAATGGAGAAGCTTATGTGGGGAAAGAAAATAACTGTGAACTGGGTGGCAATTCCTTCTTCTAGAAGTGCTGGTTGTTGCTGTCACCTCTCCACCTGAATTCACTGTACATAATTGATTACCCTGCCACAGCTAAATTAGCTGGAGGATTAATGTGCTGAACCAGAGAAACCTGGCAGGAAGCAGCAGGGGACACAGGAGCTTCCTGGCACTTCATCCCTCAGGTAATAATGATTTGGTCTTTGTTCTGATTTTACTTCTGTAAGGACAGAAGGGAAGATGGTGAATGGTTTTTGTTAGAGGGAACAGCAATGCAATGCCCAGGTTTTGTTTGTTTAAAAGCACTCTGTCTCAGCAAGCTTGGAGGCACATCAGGGCATTGTGTGCTGCAGAGGAAAGAGCTGAGACCACGCAGGCAAGGACCCACCCGAGGAGGAGGGCAGTGGAGATGGGGCCTGTGCTGCAGATGGACCAAGTGTCTCCCTCTGTGGACACACGAGGTTCCCTCAACCCATGCACTGACCCTCCTGCTGCTCTCTACCTTCCAGCCCCCTACAACCTGATCCCCCACAACCCAGCTCCTCTGCCAGGCTCACACACCAGGAAACATTTCCCCAGCCCTCCCCAGGGCTGAGGAAACCCAGCTCAAGCTTGTCCTTAAGAAGAAAGACACAAGGCAGGAGTTTCAGTGAACTACCTCCACCCCAGCGTTTACTGACCCCAGCCGAGTGTGACAGGCACGGTGCTGCAGCCCTGGGCTGTCTGCCCACACTCTAAGCCTGCTCTTCGTGCCTCCTCAGCAGCTCCCTCAGGTGCTCGATCTGGGCAGACACGCTGCTCCTGGCAGTGCCCCCAGCAGCCCTGAACTGCTCCACGCTCTGCACCACGTTGAAGACCTGGGAGACATCACTGCCAAACAGGGGGCTGGGGAGGCAAGGAGAAGAGGGGTCAGGGGGAGCAGCTGGTGCCTGGCATGAGTTGCTTCCAGTCCCTCCCAATAGCTGCTGCCCACGCCCTGCTGGAGCTGAACGGGAGTGAGGTGGTTCTGTTTGGTGTTCTCAGGCCCATCATTCATGGCACTGACAGTGAAGCCAGGAAGGTTTTGGGGTGCTATCTGGTCCAGGCATTCTAGGGAAGGGCACCACAAGGAGGCCCACAGGAAGGGAGGCTGTTGACTGACTGTTGGCACAAGAAGAGTGACACAAACCTGATGCTTTTCAGGTCATCCAGGCTGAGATTATTGATGGTGGTACCTTTAGACTCTGCAAGGTGGACGGCCTTCCCAGAGGCAGTGTGGGCCTGTCTGAATGGCATCTGCAGTGAGAAGCAGAGGCTGCAGTGAGTGACCAGGCACCTGGGGTGTTTTTCAATGGAAAAAATGGATGTGCTGTCTTTTTTGGCTGGCTTGTTTTCACTTAGAGTAGTGCCATGTGAATCCAGGTTTGGTGACCCAGCCTGATCATCACCAGGGAATAGAGCAGGTGGCCTCATCTCAAGCCCTCACTGAGCAATGTTGTGCATCCAGAGAAATCTCAGCTCCATGTCTCCAATACTTACTCCTTTACGAACCAAGTAGAGAGCCAGGTCAGTAGAGAGCATCTCAGGGCTCAGGGCCTTTTCCATGTTCTCCTTGTTGATCTGCAGGATGGTCAGAGGGAAACCTTATCACCAGCTCCTCCCTGGGGACACGTGAGCTAACAGTGGGGGCCACCTTGATCAGATGGGAGAGGCACTTAAGGGCCTTCACCTCCTGAGCTCTCTTACCTGTTACTCAGAGCACCCCTGCAGCCTTACCTGGAGGGTAGAAATTACTCCAGTGGCGACCTGCAGCACAGCATTCAGGGTGTCCACAACATCAAAGACGGCCTCCTTGTCCTCCTGCAAGAGAGCAGGGATGGGATTTGCTGTCAGCCACCCTGCTGGGGTGTCAGCTGGGGGGTGCTGAGCCTCAGCCCCTTCCTCAGCATCCTGCACACGAGCAGGGGCTGTGCAGGGGTGAGCCTGGCAAGGGCAGAAGATGCAGTGTCTGCTCAGAGGGACAGTGTGGAAATCTGTGTTACCTGCAGATCCTTGTTGTAGGTGCTTGGGAGTCCTTTGAGGACCATGAGGATGGCAGCCAACTGCAGAGAGAGACAGCAGAGGCAGTTGGCTCTAGGAAGAGAAGCTCATTGCCCCAGCAGAGGCTCAGAGCCCAGACTGGCACATTTCTGTACACAGAGGAAGAAGAAGGAGGGCTCTTCAGCCCTGGCCTGAGCAGCCTCCCCAGCCGCTCACCCGCCCGAAGACGCGGCCGGCTTTGCTGCGGATCAGCTCCAGGCTGTCGGGGTTCTTCTTCTGAGGCATCAGGCTGCTGCCAGTGCTGGGAGAAGGGAGAGGGGGGCAAGGCAGCGTGAGACTCCAGTGCCACCAGGCACAGGCTGAGAAAGTCACACCTCGAATAGACCCAGCCTGAGTGCTGCTGTGAGTTCAGGGAGGGGAGGGCTGTGGCTGAGCTGCCTGGAGAGACAGGAAATCTGTTAGGAGCTGCAAAGCCAGCTAATGAGGGCAGGGCTCTGGCAGGAATTCCCAGCAAAGGGGGAAGTTCTCTCTGCCAGCAGTTGCTGAGGAGGTGTTTGTGCCCAGTACAGCCTTGGCTGAGTTACCAGAATCAGAAGTAAGTGGTCATTACTGAAGACTATTCACCCTCAAGGCTGCCTTTCTGCCACCCTTGTAATGCTGTGTCAGCCTTGTCCAGCAGGGAGGCCCCAGCCACTGTCTGGTCCTCCCTGGTGAGGAGGGATGAGGAGGAGAGACAGGGAAGGGCTCCCTGCCCAGAGGCCTACCTGTAAGCATCAGAGAGGGTCAGAAAGCCAAACTCGTTGGTACTGTAGATGATGAGATCTTCAGCCATCTTGCTAAGGTGGATCATCAGCAGGGTAGCAGCAGAGAGGAATTCCACTGCAGAGAAGCAGGAAATCAGGAGGTGAAAAAAGGTGCTTGGTTGCTTGACAACTGAGGGAGCCCTGACTAGAGTTTAAACATAAGCCAACACATTTTCTTTGTAATTATTTCCTGGTGAGGGACTTGAATCCCCTTGTTACAGGGGAGTAACTGGAAAAGTTTCAGGGGCCTGCTTCTAAAAGAGTGGTGGTAAGAACCTGTGGAGTTGTGCTTACCCACAAAGTCTCTGTCACTGACTGTGTCCATGCTGTTCAGACTGATGGAAGCAAAGTCCAGCTCTGTAAGGAAGGAGATGGACAGAGGAGGTCAGGCTTGGCATGGCTGCAGCTGGAATGCAGGAGATTGCCCCAGTGTGCAGGTGGCTGTGAGCCCTTCAGTAGTCCCAGGAGCACAGTCCTGCTGAGCAGGGTTTGTTGTTAGCCCAGGCAGGCAATGTGCAGCAGAGGTGGTTCTGCTTCTGCTCCCTCCCTGCTGGCAGCTGCTGGCTCACAGCAGCCAAAGGTCTTCTGCCTCACCAGGTCACTAGGAGCTGAGCTGTGTCACTGAGCATCAGATCACATTCTTTTTTTGTTAATTTATTACCCTCCATCCCCATGTTAAGGTTCTGCAACACATCCAAAATAACAGCAGGACACTGTAGCAGTGCTTCCCCAGCTCCTCAGCATTATGAGCAGCCCGTGCCCCCCACTACAGGCAGACACTCACCACTGCACAGCAGCTCCCTATCGATCCCCAGGGGGTTGCCAGCCAGAGCACCACTGCCAGAGGAGAACACACACAGTCATGCATGACACCTTGCACCCTGCACCCCAAACTGAGCTCTGGCAGGCAGTGATGACACCTCTCTGAAGAGCTTCTTCCCCTTCCATTCTAGTGTCACACAGTGTGGCCTGAAGGCTCAGCAATCTCTGGAGTAAAACAAAAGTCCTCTCCTAAAGAGGAATTAATCAGATTTGGCTGATTGTAGTTCTTGATTTCAAAAAGGGAGAAGAACAGCATCTCTGTGCTGAGTCTTCTCTTTGGACCAGTCTTCTCTGTGGAGAGAGAATCAGGGTTTGTGCCCTGGCAGCTCTGCAGTGCATAGGGCACACAGTGGTGCAGGGCATATAAAGATCTACCTCTTAGACAGTTCACAGAGCAAAGTGAGGCCCAGGGATGACACAGAAAGTAAACTTTACCTTCCCAGCGGCAAGACATTGATTCTCCTCTTCACCTCTCCCAGGCGCTCCAGGTCCCGGGTCAGAGCAACAGCGTGGCTGGGAAAAGAGACCAGCAGGGATGGAGCAGCTGGAGCCAGGAAACAGCACGAGGGCCAAGAGGTAACTGGGCAAAGGATGGAGGGCACAGGGAGTTGGCCTCCACTGCCCACTCAATGCTTGGTCCCAGGTTGGTCAGGGCCACACAGGGAGCTCCTGCTCCAGTTTGCCAGGTTGCCTCTGGTTTGTCACCCCCCGGTCCCCCCTGAGAGCATGAACAGGGCCCCCAGGGTGGAGGAGGTGAAAGGTGGTTACCTGAGCAAGAACTGGCTCCATCGGATGGGCTGGGCTTTCTGCAGGTGGGTGTAGCCAGGCAAGATAACATCGATTTCTCTGCATGGGAAAGGAGAGGAGGAGGAGAGCAGCAGCTGTCAGCCAGGAGGCAGGGAGCTGCCCTCCAGGGTTTTCCAGCAAGGGCACAAAGAGAACTTCTCTGGCCTGTCTTGTGCTGAATTTGGTCACTCTCTTTCTCTCCCTGTCACCTGCTCCCTAAGCACCCTGGGTTTGATCTCCTGATCTTCCAGTGGGCTGTGCCTACCCTAGGCCTCCCTGGAAAACTGGTGGGGACAGTAATCCCTCTGTGGCAGGCCAAGGTTCCCAGGCACCACTGGTTTGGTGTGTGGTGGGTGAGGAGAGTTAGACAGGAGCTAACACAGCTGAGCTTTCTCATGCTTAGCAATTGGAGACGTGTTAAGGTTCCCCCTTCCTTCAGTTGGATTTGGTGCCTTCTCAGGTCGTGTGTGGAGCTTCCAGCTCAGTTCCTTTGCCAGGACACTCTGGAAGAGGAAGGTCTCTGTGGTGTGAACTGTGGAGAAGGAGGGGCTGTTGATTTTCCCTGAGCCATCACACACTGCCTGGCTCTAACCTCCTCTGCAGAAGGCCCTGCTGCTGCCCTGGCTGCTGGCAGCCCAAGAGGAAGCCTTGAAGGCTCCTGCCCCTGCAAAGCCAAGGATGTGGCTGTGGAAAAGGACTTACATGGCAGCACGTTCCACCAGGGTCTTGATGAGCTGCAGGAGGTGAGTGGAGATGACAGAGAGGGAATTCTTCATGAACAGCTTCAAGTCAGTAACAACCTGTGTGAGATTGTCCACAGGCAGTCAAAGCAGAATATTAAATACTTAGTGACCAAGTATTTTTCCTCAAGAAAGCCTTGGCAGAGTTATCCCCTCCCTGTTCTATGTGACAGAAGGGACATCCTCTCACCAGATGTGTCCCTGGTGACTGATCTGTAAAAGTTACTGTATCTTGCTTTCCATGAACTGAACCAAAGTCCATTTTTTAAAGTGGTTGTCTCAGCTACTGTCAACTTGGGATCAAAAGATCTCTAAGCAACACGGGTCAGTCACCAGCAGAGGGACTGATCCTGAACAGTGCATGGCACCCAGCCAGGAAAGTCATGGTTTCTGTCAGCTTTCACAGGGATGTCAGTGGCAGGTTGTAGCCCTATCCCAGCAGGAAGCAATCCTGCAGAGCCCATTCCCTGTCCCAGCAGGAAGCAACCCTGCAGAGCCCATTCCCTATCCCAGCAGGAAGCAACCCTGCAGAGCCTGTTCCCTGTGCTGTGAGTCACTGCAGCCTCACTGGTGTAAAGCCCTGGGGAGTACATGCTGGAGTGCCAAGGCATGAGAAAGATGGCATCAGGAACTGGATGAAGGAAGTGAGATGGGGAGGAGTACTGAAGCAGGAAAAACAACCATTTCTGTACATACCTGATCATTCCTG